AGTCTCCTGCCTCCGCCTCCCAAGTAGCTGGGACCACAGGCGCCCCCCACAATGCCAGGCTATGTTTTGGTTGCAGGCATCGTTGTTTAGTGGGTCTGGGCTGGGGATTCGAACCCGCCACCTTAGGTGTACGTGGCTGGCGCCTTAGCCGGTTGAGCTATAGGCGCTGAGCCTCTCATTTTCTTTCATTAGGGGAACTGTATTTGATACTTTTGTACATCTTCACAGATATAGTAATACTTTACATACATGTATTCAGAAAAGAAGATTATTTAATGATAGGCAGAAAAGAATTTCACCTCTGTGGCCAATTCTAATTCAATGGTAGCTGGTGCTTAGAATTTCCTGCCCTGAGATGGATTTCCCAGGTACTTCTCAGGCTGGGCCAGCAGAAGCAACATACGTCAAACACGAGCAAGATACTAGGCGGTGACAACCTGCAGTGTATTTCAGATTCCTGAGTTGTCATTCCTTAACTGTCACAGTGAACTAGACAAAGAACAACAGTTCCAAGAGACTAACCTATGCCATAAAATGGTTGCGATGAAATGAAAAATATAAAGTAAATTATGATAAAGCCAAATCAACATCCATACCTGGAACTGTCACCTGAACGATGTTAAGATCTTCAACACCCACTGCAGAATTTGTAATATTGGATGAATTTGTGTTTCCTTAAAACAGAAACTGAGGTTTAGAATTTACAGAAAATAAGGCCAATTCTCCTCTAAAAATATCAAAGTGCCACTTTGATCAGAAGCCCAGACTGAATTTTTTTAAATGCAGAGAACAGTTAACGGCAGGATAACAAGATGGCCTGGCATCACCGGATACTTGAGTCTCTACAGTTCAATGCTGAGGTCAAAGGGAAGGGCACAGGGACTTTTGATCCACTCTTTGCGCCTACTACATGCTCCAGTAAGTCTAATTTTATTTTAAAAGAAGGATGCTAAAATTGTGTTTCCTTTCTTGTTATTCTCAGTGTAAAGGGGGAAAAAAGGAAATAAGACATATAAGTATGTCCTAGAGGCTATTTAAAAAGCAGACATCCTGAGAAAAATGATTTAGCAGACACAGTCAAGGATAGGCCCAGACACAGATAAATAGTCAAAGCACAGCTGATGTTAGTTATCATGTTTTCTGGCCAAATGATAAGCACAATATTCATTTAAGTTATGTGTAAAAAAATATAAATGAACCCACCCAATCCCCTCTGAGGAGCACGACGCTCAGTCCCTACGTCCTACGAATGACTCAGCGTTGGTGGTTCCTGAGCCTGCACCTGGGGAGCAGGTCCTCAGAGAGACAAGAGCAGCCTCATTGTCAACAAAAGCCTTCAGTTTTCTCCAGAGTACCCATGCTGCATCATACGCAGAATCGCTGGAGGAAATGTTGGAAAATTTCTTGTTCTTGACCTTAAAATTACTCATTTTTTTGATTAAAATTAAATTTTTCTAGAAAGTCTGCCTCTAACAAGTCCATTCAACATTAAGAGATTACTGAAACTTTCATGGGGTTCCACTGTCACCTTAAAATAAGGAAAATACTACAGGATACTTAACATTCCTAAGCCTCCAGAAAACCCAGAACCAAATTCAGGTCATCAACACATAGTGCCAGAGAACGAGGCGCTCTACTCAGACATTCATATTTTTGACATAATCAAAGTGCTTATGTTTTATCATTAAAACTAATTCTTGGCTCGGCGCCTATAGCTCAACCGGCT